AGATGCGTGTCCTCACCAGAAAACCAAAAGGAACAAATGGAAGGAATGCAGGTAAGTCAGCAAAGACAAGTTGGTAAGCCCCGTGCTGGTAGGCACTCGGTGATCTGGTGACATGACACCACAGAAATGCGGTGTCCTTCTCGGAGCGGCCGTGGCAAACCACCAAGGATTACAGTCAGTCTGTAACTCCACTTTTGGAACTATAACTTAAGGAAATAATCTAAATAAATAATCTAAATAAATAAATGGGGGAGAGGCAGCAGACACACACACTTGAGTGAGCCTTAAGGCAGATAAAAGGCTGTGCACACTCTGCAGCCACTGCACCAACTTTAAATAACCTGCGTGTGGATCACATCAATGTGGGGACTGGCTTCACCTCACACACGGCTAAGACTGTCTGAACCACGGAGCAGCTGGGCCTCCAGGCCTGCAGCTGCCCACAGCAGAGAGGGCCATCAGCCCCACCTGGAGGGAGAAACGAGGACAGTGAGCTGACGCGGGGTTCTGGGACAGAATGAGGCCTCGGGGTGGGGGGTGGGGGGGAGTTGATTTCACATCTCCGTAACCAAGAAAGGAGCTTGCCTGCGAGTCAAGAAGCCTAGTTTAACATTCTCGAGTGTGGGAGGGAGGGAGGCAAGAACTGTCATCCGGTTTTAGCTGCCACCCCTGCCTGCTCTGAAAGCCTGCCTGGGTGTGTCTGATGTGGATCCACGGCTTAGGCAAGGAGGGAAGGGTGGCTGGGAAGTAAGTGGCACATTTGCATCGGCCTGCTGGGAGGTCAGAGGTTAGGACCAAGGACTCTGGTGACATGACAGGCATCCCTGGGGTTACCCTTCTTGTCCCACGTGGCCCTCATAGCAATCCTGCCACATGAGGCCTGTGCTAGTGTCCTAGGACAGCCAGGACAAAAGCACCGCACACTGGGGGCTTCAAACAAGACATTTATTCTCTAGTCTGGAGGCCGGAAGTCCAACATTGAGGTGTCGCAGTGTTGCGCTCCCTCCGGAGGTTCCAGGGGATAGGCTGTGGCTGCATCTCCCCAATCTCTGGCGCATCTTTACTTCACTCCTCCTGTGTCTACGTTTTCTTTTCTGTGTCAAATCTCTCTTTTTTTCTCTTATAAGGACACTTGTCACTGGATTTAGGGCCCACCTGGATAATCCAGGATGATCTCATCTTAAGAACCTTAACTTAATACAGCTGCAAACACTCTTTTTCCAAATAAGGTCCCATTTGTAGGTTCCAGGGTTTGGCAAGGACATCTAGGGGCCCTTTCGGCCCACTACAGCCCTTGGGAGGTGGGCTCTTGACTACCTTCCTCAATCACCCTAGAGCCCACCACAGGGTCTGGCACTGACTGATAAGCAACCAGCAAACTTCTGGAGATCAACCAACTAAGGCTCTCAGCCTCACTTTAAGGATGAGGCACAGAGGTCCTGCGAGGCTAAAGTGATTACCAAAGCCAGGCGGCCAGTGAGTGTGCCTGAGGCACAGGGTAGGCCTGGTGACCTCGGGGACCACAAGCTCCGCCTCCAGAGGCTTGAGGGAAGCAGCGCTTTGTTCCTTGCAGCAAATGCAAACAGGGTCTTCACACATCAGAGCTACAATATAATCTCAGATACACGGCCCCAGATGTCACCAATAAATAAATAAATTGAGAACACACCAAACCTTCAGCTCCATACACAGCAATGTCTCTACCACATGCTGGCATTGGCTGTACCAGAGGCCATGGTCAGGAGGGAGGCAGAAAAAGGGAGAAGGCCTGCGTCTCATCAGAAGGTGCACACCAGGTGTGTGGGGGGCTGTGCTGGTGAGAAAGCTCCGGAAGAGGATATAACGCTCTAAATAATTTCTCTTCTTTTTCTACAAGTAGTGAAACTGTATTAGAAATGCGATGCCATCTACTGATGATCAAAACCTCTAAGGGACCACGGGAAAGAACTTGCGCAGAACCTGCAATTCCAAGAGGTTTTTACGTGGATTCCAACGGGTTAATGGGGGAAGAACACCCAGAAGCCGCGCTCACAGGCAGTGACAGGTGCATTTCAGCCTGCAGCCAGTCCTGCTTTGTTATAACTCCTCGAGCAGCAGGTGCCTGGCAAAAGCAAACAAAGACTAACAGGCAGCCAGGACCTAGACCAGAGGAGGACATGCAGGGACTGCAGGGCCCAGGCGCATGACCACTCAGGTGCAGAGCACTCGCCCAGGCCATGTCAGCAAGGTCAGCAAAGAAGGCAATGCATGTTTCCCGGCCTGCTTGCCCAGGCTGCCCTCCGCACACTGTGAAACACTGGCTATCAGCCCCTGCTCCACTCCCTGCCCTCTCAAGGTGCCTTTCAGCTGGAAGGAAGAGATGGAGGGAACAGGAGGCCTCTGGGTTCAGGGTCTGGCTCTACCCCTGGGCAAGACACTTGCCTCTCTGAGCCTCAGCATCCCGATTTGTAAAACAAGCTTGCAGAGAATTAAACAGCATTATCAGGCACCTCACAGAGCCTGGCCCAAAGTGTGCTCAATAAATGGTGGCCACAATTACCAAGAGTTAATGCTCTGGTCACAAGCCATAGCCATATCCAGACACAAGTGTACAAAACACACAAAAAGGTAACACGGCTCAGGATCAGCCATGAAGAAGTCAGTGTCACGACTATCAATGGAAATCCCTAAGAGGCGAGCTACCTGGCAATAATCAGGTTTCTACAGAAGTAATGTAAAGTAAAAGGCACCTTCTGTACGCTGACTACAACCCTGATGAACTGGAGTATAGCACTGAACCTTCAGAGGCCAGCGACAAGGCGGGCTGGTGTGTCCCAGGCAGGCACACAGGTTTACAGAGCTGAAGGTAACGTCAAGAAAGCCCACATGGCGAAGGCTTCCCCGAAGCAGCCCTCAGGGCTGCGCAAGCGACCAGTTACCTGCTGGGACAAACTCTTGGTGCACTGCACTGCAGAGTCAACCTCATGCAGGAGGCCCACGGATGACAGGGCAACCAGGATCTTGGGTCCACACTCCACATGGTCACCTGAGCCATCACAGCTGCACCTGGAGAGGGTGAGCTGCCAGCCACCGGCTCCTGCTGGCTACTCTCATAACCTCAGGAGGCTAGGTGGAGGGGCTTGCAAATGAAAGGAACTGGTGATATAAACAAGTGGCCGCAGTTTGGGCAACAGTTCAGATGCGTTGGGGTACAGGGAGGTACAGAGGTGATGGGACATGAGGGAGATTATCCTGACTGTCACACATTCACGGAGAAAATTAGAAACCTCAGAAGGGCACGGAACGTGCAACAGAGCGAGGTTTAGAATGAGAATCGGGCAGACTTGGCCCATGCTCTGCCTCCTGGGGTCCTTGTCACACATAGGGGGCCCTGTGTATGCTCAGAGATTCCATGTGTGCCAACATCTCCAGCTACTCCAGCACTAAGAGAATCCTCTCCGTTCCATCGGGTTTGTGGGTCCCTGCGAGCCAAGGACAGCCCGAACAGACCCCCCATGGACCTTGCTGGTCAGCAACACGCCTCGTCGGTTTTTTTTTTCCCAATAGAAACCAGTTTAACGACAACATGCTGCAGGAAGGTGGGCCCACCAACCCCACTGGCCAGAGACCCTCGGCCCATGCAGAGCCCAGTCTGACCCTCGTGGGGACTCAGAAAGGGGAGAGCAAAGTGCATCATGTTCATAAAGGAAGTAAAACAGGCACGGGGGGGCCAGGCCGGGGAGCCTGGAGCCCACGTCTAGGTGCTGGCCCACGGGGACTCCTGGGCACGGGCCAGGCAGGCCAGCTGTGCAATGATGCCCGCCAGGTCAGTGGCCTTGTCTAACTTGATGGAGGTGTCCGTGCAGATGCAGTGGAGGAATAGGTGGCACCTATTCCCAGAGAGAAGCAGATCTTGATGAAACCGAAAAAAACCGTTTTCTTTCCTTATTGCATGCTTTGCACACACGAAGAACATGACTGAATAAAATTCTGAGGTTTTTTGTCCAAAGATTTGGTCTTTTCCTTTTCATCCTTGCCCCTTTCAACCTGGTTAAGCACCCCAGTTGGAGGAAAGAGGAAACAAGTGAACTCACATGTCGAGCCTCTCTTGGCTGTACAAAGCCTCCCTGGGCGCTGCCCACTGACCACCCATAAGGCTCTGACAGAGGAAGGACGGAGCCCTGAAAGATTCTAGTAAGTAGAACACATAAGCTCTCCTTGAATCCCATACCCTCAGCTAGCTTAGCCAGCTAAGATTCACTTTGTCAAATAAGCCTGTGTGTTTGAATTTAGTAACTTTGTATCCTCCAGACTGGCATCCATGAAATTCAACCTGCTTTTTCTTTCTTTTTTTGTTTTTTGGTGAGGAAGATTCACCCTGAACTAACATCTGCTGGCAACCTTCCTCTTTTTTTTTGCTTGAGGAAGACTAGCCCTGAGCTAACATCCGTGCCAATCTTCCTCCACTTTGTATGTAGGATGCCTCCACAGCATGGCTGACGAGTGAAGCAGGTCCACGCCCAAGATCTGAACTCATGAAGCCAGGCCACCGAGGTGGAGCTCACGGAACTTTAAACACTGGGCCACAGGACCGGCCCTCTGCTTTTTCATTTTTAACCTATTTGGTTTTGGCTTAGATGTAACCGAACCACTTGAGAGCAGAAGCCTCTGGGACTGAGGGGACAAGCTCTGCGTCAGCACAGACACACTCTGGGGATGACCCCTTGCCAGGACCTCCTCTGTGGCCACTGCGTGGTCTGTGCATGGGAACTCAAGCACCCGAGTTTCTCGGTGACACCAGCCCCACCTCAAAGAGCCAGGTGGTAGGACCCTGAGGGACCAAGGCTGCAGATGCAGGAGTGACAGTCGGCCGAGGACCACACACGTGCCCTCCGAGCGGGATGCAAAACACAAAAGAAACTGTCCCGACCACAGGAATCAACCCCTTTATTGCTCAAGTATAAAGCATCACAGCAGGTTTGAGGCCACCTGGGAGTTCGCACACAGAGGCCCACACTTACCAAAACGCACTTCCCAGGCTCAAGGCTCCAGAGAGAGCTCTCAGTGTTGATCTTGTGCGTGAACTTCCCTTCCATGAGGACGCGCTCCCCATTTTCCTCCAGCACAGCCACCCGGATGGAGCTGCTGCGGAGAGCCACTGAGACCTGGAACAAAGCAGAAGAGAATCATTTCATGTGGGAAGGGGTGACCAGCATGCTCCAAAATGGGAGGGGACAACAGTTTCCAAGGCGCCTGACTGTGCACCATAGGAGAACAAGATGCAAGACCATCCTTGGGGGTCACCAGGCATTCTGAGTGAAGAAAATCATACCAACCAATTTACACTTGAAGCAGCCTATGCATCACCATCTCCTTCAAGTAAATGCACGAGATCTGTTTCGACATGCATAATGGTAACGTGGGGTGCTGTGTGGAAACAGGTTTTCAACAGTTTTCCACCCAAATCCCTTCTCCAGTTAGAGGAGCCCAATTCTCGTGGCGGAAGGCAAGACGGCACACAGTGGTAGGGACATGTGCCACCCCATTCCTGTCTTGCTGGCTGGACGACGTGTCCAGGAGGGCCGAGTGGCCACATGCCCCGCACTGCTTCCTTCCATGAACCACCGTGCCATCTCTATAGCCACAGCTCAGCCTTCACCCAGGAGAGTGATGCAAGGTCCTCTGGTTTTGTATTTTGTCTTTGTTCTCTGAGAAATCCAGCCTCTATAAGCCTCAGCTCACCAATCTCTCCTCTGTGACGCTTGTCCTGGGCAGTTCCCGCCTCCCGCACTGGGAACACCCTTTCCCTGCTCTCATGCGTCTGTCTCCACAACTGTACTGGGAGCTGCTGGGATGGGGGTTTACTTCACACATGTACCCCAGCCAGGAGGATCCAAAGCAGGTGTACCCCAGGTGGTTCATTGGATCAGTAATTGGAAAAGGAAAGAAAACAGAACTCTTGTTTATATTTTGTTTCAATTCTTTTTAAATTCTAAAATCTGTGTTTTATAATGTAAACATTGGGCCGGCCCAGTGGCTTAGCAGTTAAGTGTGCGCTCTCCGCTACTGGCGGCCCGGGTTTGGATCCCGGGTGCGCACTGACACACCGCTTCTCCGGCCATGCTGAGGCCGTGTCGCACATAGAGGAACTAGAAGGATGTGCAACTATGACATACAACTATCTACTGGGGCTTCGGGGGGGGGGGGGAAGGAGGAGGATTGGCAATAGATGTTAGCTCAGAGCCGGTCTTCCTCAGCAAAAAGAGGAGGGTTAGCACGGATGTTAGCTCAGGGCTATCTTCCTCACAAAACAAACAAACAAATATAATGTAAACATCTTTTTATAATAGTATTTGCATAATGTATATGTTAAATGAACAGTCACTGGAGAAGAGAGCTTAGGCCTTTCTAACACGCATGTGGTATCAAAACCGGTTGGAGACAGCCCTCCCATGTCGCTTGGTAAGTGCTCATCAAATGCTTGAAAAGCGCTTCAAAAGAAACCTTCAAAACCACAAAATTTTCAAACTGGAGTTTATATTTGTCAACGGAATCTGATACTGCAACCTACCTGTATTTTAAATATCCACAAATAAAAGATGGAAAGGGGAGGGATGATGTTCTGGAGTTACCACCATTAGGCAGCTTCAGAGTAAAACAGGAACTCCTGAACTGTACATGAGGGAGGAGAGACGGGGACAAAAGTGCTGCCACAGAGCACAGTGGCCTCTGGGTGGACAAGCCACCACGCACGCTGCGTCTACACACAGGCTCTGGGGGCGTCCTGTGAGCCGCAGCTCCACCCACACTCAACTTCTGGGAGGATTTACTGTTTCCTCAGCTGGTTCTGCAAAGTCATGGGCACAACGCACCTTCACTCCCGGCATCTAACGGCCAACACACCAGCAGCCCAGCACACCCCAGATCATAAACTTGAGTGTGTGGTGAACACCCGACAGAGTACATCAAGGCTCTGTCACCCCTGGCCTCCCAGGAACAAGCTCACTTTAACAAATAAAATCCTCCCAGCCAACTTTACATAACAAGATAATTTCCAAATTTGGGCATGCTTCTTACAATGCTCATCTCTTGCACAACAGGGGATGAGCCAAGGCACCAAGGGGGAACCACAAAGGAGATGTTTCCAGGAGCTCCAGGTCAAGACGTCACCCTGGGAACAGGCTCATCTCCTGATCTCTGTGACCCACAGAGATGACAGGAACAAAGCACAAAGAATAAAACCCCAGACAACACAAGGGAAGCAGCAGGAGGCCGGGACAGACAGTACAAAGCAGGGAGGAGTGACAGGTCCACATCTGGAAGCCCATAGCTACATGGGGCCTCTGGCTGGCAGACAGCAGGTACACAGGGCCAAAGCAGAGCAGCCAAGAGTCAGTCCTGGCTATGATGAAGTGAACTACTTTTGACAAGGTTAAAAAGAACGACAGCAAGAAACCCCAGAAAAACAAAAAATTATACGAGAAATTCCTGATTCAAAGGGATGTTGGAGAAAATGGTGAAGTTAAGGACCTCCAAAAAAATCTCTCCTCCAAAAAAGCAATAAGAACATTGGCAAAAATTGTCAATATCTACTTGGTCTGAACTTTGGAAACTAAGCAAAGGTTTGTAGGAACACAGGAAGCATTTATGCAAGAAAAACGACAGCATCTTTGTAAGAACAGTGAGCTTTTTGTGACATTTTAACTTGCCCTAGACCCATTCTCACTCTCTAGCTCCTTGGTAGCCCACATTCCTGGGGTAGCCTGGCAGTCATCACAGGGAGCATAAAGGAGCTGGAGCTCTTTCAAAGCTTCATTCCCAAAGAACTGTCATTATCTGACCTGTGTAATGGTTCCTGGAAGACCCCACTTGCAAAGCTGTCTGTTTTTGACTGAACACAGAAAAGCCTTTTCCCCAGGAAGTGTCTGTTGAAAACAATTATAGGCAAGTGTTTTAACTTCACACCTGAGGGAGGTGGTAGATATCAGCAGAGGCAAAAACAAAAAAAAGTAAAAGATGGGGAATATAATGTCCATGGAAGCTTTGAAACACTTGGAAATATTCCTAGGAATCTAGAAGGACACATGAATGTGTAGGGCTGTGTGTATGCTCAGGAGAAACCTGAGAAGGCCCTAAGCTCTCACCACTGGCTGACTCTGCAGGAGTGAGAAGTGAAGGTTAAGGAGAATTTTCAACTGCTACACTAAGTGTTAAAGGCGTGCCCCAAAACGTACACGGAGCCCCTCAAAGACAGAAAGATTTACTGGTTCCAGGTGTTTAATGAAATCTTTGTCCAATCATTAGCTGACACTAAGCTCACCAAGCAGAGACTTCATTGGCCACATACAATAAAGAATCCAGACTTCAAAAAATTAGTTCAAAAAAATCATTAAACAAACAAGAACTACATCAAGTACCAACAACAACAAACTATGGAGAAAAGGGAGAATCTGATTTCCAAAGTTGCCACATTGTTATTTAAAATGTCCAGTTTTCAACAAAGAATTACAAAACTCACAAAGAAACAAGAAAAGATAGCCCATACACAAAGGATAAAAGCAATCAATAAAATCCATCCCTGAGGAAGCCCACGCATGGACTTAGTAGAAAGTCTGTAAATCAGCTATTGTAAATATACTCAAAGAGCTAAAGAAAACCATGTGTAAAGAACTAAAGGGAAGTACGAGAATGATGTCTCATAAATAGAGAACATCAATAAAGAGATGGATATTATTTTTAGAAAGACTCAAATACAAATTCTGGAATTCAAAAGTAATTGGAAAAAAATTGAAGTGAAAAACCCACTAGAGGGTCTCAAAAGCAAATTTTAGCAGTTAGAAGAAAGAATCAGCAAATCTGAAGATAGGCCAATTGAGATTACTCAGTCTGAGGAACAGAAAGTAAACAGAATGAAAAAATGAACAGAGTCAGAAACCTGATGGACACCATTAAGCATACCTCCACAGGCATAATGGGAGTCAGAGAAGAGGAGGAAAGAGAGAAACAGCAGAAAGAATATTTGAAACAATAATGACCAAAAACTTTTCAAATCTGACCAAAAAATTAATCTACACATTCAAGAAGCTGAATGAATTTCAAGTAAAATAAACTCAAAGAGATCAAGACCTAGATGCATCAAAATCAAACTGTCAAAAAAGCCAAGGACAAAGAGAGAATCTTGAAAGCAGGAAGAGAAAAGCAAACTCATCACATACAGAGGAGCTTCAATAAGAATAACAGCCAATTTGTTATCAAAAACTATGGAGGCTAGATGGCAGTAGGATGAAGGATTCAAAGAGCAGTTCGGGGGAAAAAAGTCAATGAAGAATTCTGGCAACACTATCCTCCAAAAAAGAGGAGAAATTAAGGCATTCCCAGGTAAACAAAACCCTAAGAGAATTCATCGCTAACAGGCCTATCTTTTCTTCCACATGCCCTACAAGAAATACTAAAGGAGTCCTTCAGGCTGAAATGAAAGGGCACCAGATGGTAACTTGGATCCACAGGAAGAATAAAGAGCACTGGTAAAGTAAACACAGCACAAGTGTAACTTGTGTTTGTTAACTCTCTTTCTCTCCTGATTTAAAAGACAACAGCATAAACCACAAATAAAGATACAAAGAAGCAGAGAACAGGAGTTATTATATAGAACAGGAGTTACTGTATACAGCCAGGTTTTGGTACACATTGAAATTAAGTTGGTTTAATGAATCTGAAGTAAATTGTAATCCCCAGGGGAAACACTAAGAAAATAACTCCAAAAAAAAAAGACGAGGGAATTCAAATACAACACTAGGAAATATCTATTTAACGCAAAAGAAAGCAGTAACAGAAGAACAAAGAAAAATTTCAAAACTTACTACAAAGACAGAATAATCAAAACAATGTGGTACGGTATTCATAGACATACAGATCAATGGAACAGAATTAAAAATTCTGGTTGGTTGATTTTAGACAAGGATGCCAAGGCAATTCAATAGAGGAAAGAATAGTCTTTTCAACAAACGGACTGTGACAACTGGATAGCCACAAGCAAAATAAGAAATTTCAACCACTCCCTCATATCGTATACAAAAATTAAATCAAAATGGATCAAAAATCTATATCTAAGAGCTAAAACTATAAAACTCTTAGAAGAAAACAAAAATGTAAACATTCATGACCT